CTTCGAATTTCATATTAAGAAATTCTTTTAACCCAAAAAGCAAATTATGCTCCCTTCGAACTGGTTTTCTTTAAAATACAAATCTTTGTAATCCCAGGCTATCTGTAATCAGAAGCACATTTATAACTGGAATATAATTTAATTTTATTCACATGTGTTTCATAAACACATAATCCTTTATGGATTACAATCCACCATAAAAATGATACATTTAATTATTCTGGCTGCTGTGAGAAAAGGCTATAAACGATCGGCCACCTGCAGGATCCTCACATGCGATAGCCTAGTAGCCGGGACAACTTCTTTATGTTTACAGATGTGACGTAATGACGCAGTGCCATGCTCGAATTTCCAGTGAAAACCTACCTGCACCACTCAAATTAGAAAACATTATTATAAGCTGACCGTTGTGAATCGGGCTAAAGTAAGGCGAAAGTTTCGAACACTGACTGGTTATGTACTTGCTCAAATATTGATTTCGGATAATTTTTAACCCAAAAAAAGTTACGGACTGCAGCTTTAAAATGAAAACAGAAAATTAAAAAATAAAAACAAATTCAAATATTAGTGATGCTAAAATAAAATACTGAACTGTGAGGTTTTCTCAAAACCTGGTTTAACTGTGTTGGTGCTGAATTAAATTAAATTTTAAATTAAATTAATGCATTTAGCAGACGCTTTTATCCAAAGCGACTTACAGTGCATTCAGACTATACAATTTTTTACCAGTATGTGTGTTCCCTGGGAATTGAACCCACGACCTTTTGCACTGCTAATGCAATGCTCTACCACTGAGCCACAGGAACATTGCAATCAACTAATGATTGGTTTGAAAACATGCAGTCAAAGGTCACATGACTAATGTTATAGACAATATTGCATAAATGCTTGAGTCATTGTATGTTTGACCTTCTGGATCACTTGAGGTCGCATATATTGACAAAACTCTGATTGTTGCCATAGCATCCAGCTGTGTGTTTTACATCACTGAGGTCATGTGACTTCCTTTCATGTGAAGCTCATTTGTCAGAATCCCATGAGCACTGAGTCTTGTTTGAATTCATTCAGAATAGTTTGCAATTATTTCGGCTTTTTGCTTTAACGCTTTTCTTTAGATATCTGTGCAGTTCATGATGTACAGCAAATCTCCTCGGGATTCTGCAGATGGAGATGAAGAGACCGCTGCGCTTCTCCATAACTGAACAATTCCCATTCCTGCTGTGACT